AAAAAAATGATTTCATTAATGAAAGATAAACAAACGGCACTTACAGACAATTCCTAGGAAATCTAAAATTCCAACACAAGTACAAATCACCTTAAAACTAGTTGATTCGATCAACAATCGCTTTAATAAAAAATTTCCGAAGCAATACAATCTGTGAGTTAGCACTAATTCGGCTTGAGATCCACGGATTAGTGTGAAAAAACTCACAAGGCCTTCTAGATACTTCGGAGATGATGAAACCCTAAATCTTCAAACTTTAGCACACGAACAAACAAAGAAAATAACCTTAATTGAATAAACACCATAATAAAGATGTGATCCATTTATTGAAAGCAATTTTAAAAAAATTTGGAGCTTACCACCAGTAAAAACACCGGTGGAAGCCCCTACAAAAATTTACAATTGAGATCAGAAGAAAAGAGATGAAAGAAAAAAAGAGAAAAAGAAAAGAGTGGAGGAAAACCTTTAAAAAAAACAGAAAAAATCTAGCATTGGAGGCTAGAAAAACCCTAGGGGGAACCAAAAAACCCTCCCAAGGAGAAAACCTAGAAGGAACTAGACAAATATAAAAATAATTGGGTCGTGCTTGTTTTCTTGTAATCGTTCCTAAAACAAACGGAAAAAATAAAACTTACGGTTCGTTTGGTATAGCTGTGATTTTCTCTTTTTTTTCAAAATCATGATATAAGCCATATAATGAATTAAAATTTTGTCAAATGTATTAAAATCATGATAATTCTGAATATTGACATCATAAAAGAGGAAACAACTTTTGTTTCATTTTTTTATTTATTTTTTCCGTTTAAAAAATAGAAAAGTGAAAACAAAAAAACAATGTTAAACAAACCCTTAGTTAATACTCCCTCCGTTTTTAAATACTTGCTCCATTTCTCCATGCGCGGAGTTTTAGGAGAAATTGGAGAAAGTAAAAAATATATTGTTCTCTTACGTTGAAATTCAGTTCAGTTCAGTTCAGTTCAGCTCAGTTCAGTTCAGCTCAGTTCAGTTCAGCTCAGCTCAGTTTAGCTCAGTTCAATTCAGTTCAGTTCAGTTCAGCTCAGCTCAGCTCCTAATTTCCTTCTCATATAAAATTAAATATTCAGTTCAGTTCATTTCAGTTTAGTTCAGCTTAGTTCAGTTCAATTCAGTTCAGCTGAGTTCAGTCAATGAGAACAGGCCCGTAGTGGGGTTGGTGGAAGATTAAAAAATTATAGAAAGAAAAAGTAGTGGAGAGAATAGGAAGAGAGAGAATATATATTGGGTCCATTAGGTGAGAGAAATAAATTAAATATTGTAAAAGCTTTCCAAATAAGGAAATGGAGTAAGTATTTAAAAACGGCCACAAATGAAAAGTGGAGCAAGTATTTAAAAACGGAGGTAGTACGTAGTATCAATTTTAATTTTCTTTCAGTAACACAGAAGCCATTTTATTAGCAAAGAGTTTTCTCCCTATCTAGAATGCACTCTCTTAACTAGCCTTACATACAACCTAATCCTTTACTTTGATCTATATTACATTAGTCGGTAGTAATCATCAACAAGCTTATGTGAGCCGAATACCATTGAGTTTTGCTTGAGCTTGCCTCATTAACAATTAACAAACGAATTGATATGACCAAAAATTATTCCCTACCAGCTTTTATCAACCCTACCTAATTTTAAAATAGATGTAATTTTTTTTTTTTTTTTTTTTTTTTACAAGAGCAACTAAAAAACAAAAGAACAACAAGCACATATCTAAAAACCCAAAACAAAATCCTACGTCGTCAAGCCTTCTTAGCCAACCAGTGAGCAGGTTCTACCCAATCCCGAGGCACCTTAGTAATCTTGCAAGCAGAAAAACCCAAGAGAAAACGTTGAATATCGCTCGTTAACCATAAACAAGAAATATCCTCTGAGCAATCACGGCTAATAAGAGACACCAAGGTGGCGGCGCGGTCAGTATAAATAAAAAGGCGAAGAAATCCCTTGTGCAATAGCCGCTTGAAGGCCCCATAAACAAGCTTGAAGTTCAGCCTGGAGAGCAGACATTGCGATACAAGCGCTAGCACCGCCTTCTAATACCTCAGTTGTATCGATCCTACGGAAAATCCAACCTGCTCCTGCGGAATTGTCCCGAGCATTCCAAGCACCGTCCAAAACTAGACAAACCTGTAAATGAGCACTCGAGTCCCCTTGAAGATAGCCGACAGAAAGAGGCACAGCAGAAGAGACCCAAACCTGTCGAGAAGAATGCTGAAGAGAGAACATTCCAACCTAATCACCACAAGAGAGCCACTCGTCTGCAAGATCAAAAATCGTAGCCGAAGAGTACAAGGCGTGCTTAAAGATAAAGTGATTACGAGTCAAGCAAACATCCCATAAAAGACACAAAAAAGAACGTTAACCCCCCAGTTCTTATGAAATCTGAACTCATTGACCGCATCAGAGAACCACAACTCAAAAGGCTTTCCATAAAAAGCCAATCAACCGCAGTTGGGAAACTTGCAGGGGAGAAGGTGACGAACAAACGAGCAATCCCGAAATAGATGACTCTAATAACACGTTGGTATTTCACATAATACCAATAACAAATTATATCGATACCAACAAAATATTTTTGCATTCATTAGTATCACTAAGGGCCTGTTCCCTTCGGCTTAATTTCAATTCAATTCGGCTTCAATCAGTTCAGTTCAGTTCCTAATTTCCTTCTCTCATAAACAATTCATTTCAGTTTAGTTCAGTTCACCTCCAATCAATTCAGCTCAGTTCAGTAAAGCATAACATACCCTAAATAAGGTTGTTGGTATCATGATAATACCATCTAAAGTATAATAAAATACTAACAAGTATTATGACATTTATTTTTTCAAAGTGCGGTACAAGTGAATAGACGAATATGCCCTAATTAGAGTAATTTATGACTAAGTACTAGAGTCTTAGAATTCCTAAATAGCTCAAAACATAAAATATTACACACCTCAAAGTACTCATAAAAAAGCGTCCCAAATAGTCATGTCAATATTTTATCCAACTCAAAAACTAACTACGGAGTATCTGAGCTCTCCGACAATACTGTGAAAAGCCGATCCGGTGATGCCTTGAGGCAATGCTCGAGCTCTTTCATGCACGTTGCCAATTTTGAATACAGTGATAATACCGTATATTCCACCTCCTCTACACGTGTATTACGCTACTCAAGATCACAATACTTGATAAAATTCAGAATTCAGATCATAGTATATTACTATATCTGTATAATAGAACAGAAAACAATGTTACAAATAATATAATAAGTCAAACATTTTGGATCTAACGCGTTTACAATAATCATAATATCTTTCCACTTGCAAAAGCAAACCACTCACCACCCATAACTGGCCTTTATAATACTACAAATAAGATAAAATAGTCTTCTAAATTGACATGAAATCCACACCTTTTATAATATAAGTTTATCTTTGAATATTGTTTTTAAGATATGTAATAATATGATGGAAATATAAAATAAATTCAACGCGCACCCAAGTTCATTATATATAGAGTTCATTCACTACACTTATCTTTCATCTTACTCATAAACATAAACAATCAAATCGAATGGCTCACTTAGCTCTCCTCTATTTCACACTAACTTCTCTCACTTCCAACATCCTTTTTAGTCAAGCTTCTACTTCATCCCCAAAGCCAAAAGCTCTAGTGTTACCGATACGCCAAGATGCCGCTACTAAACTCTTAGTAGCGAACATCTATGGAAGGACACCCCTCATCCCAATCAGCTATGTTATAGACCTCAACACCCGGCATGTATGGGCTAATTGCGAGTCCAATTACAACTCGACGACTTTTAGTCAGCCTAAGTGTAAATCAGCCCAATGTAAATCAGCTCATACTAGCTATTGTTTTACTAATTGCCAAGGTGCTAGACCATTTTGTCATACTAATACATGCGGGTACTTACTGGAGAATCCAGTGTCCCACCAAAGTACTATTGGTGAGCTAGCTCAAGATGTCATCGCTTTCAGTTCAACCAATGGGAAAAACCCCGGTCCATTGGTCCGTATACCTGACTACCTCTTCACCTGTGCGCCATCTGCACTGGTTGAGCTGCGGTTACCTAAAGGTGTACAAGGTGTAGCCGGGCTAGCCCATGCTCCAATCGCGCTCCAAAACGTGCTTACATCTAGACTTGGTATTAAGCCCATTTTCACAATGTGCATACCATCTACAACCTCTGGTGATGGGGTGATTTTCTTTGGGTCAGATGGGCCTTACAGTTTCCTTCCAGGAATCGACGTATCAAAGAGTCTCAAATACACACCGTTAACTTTTAGCCCATTTGATGAGTATTACATTCATGTCAAGAACATTAAAATCAACCAAAAGCCAGTTCCTGGCCTCAACACTACTCTGCTATCAGTAAACGATACTGGTTCTGGGGGCGGAACCACATTCAACACCCTATTACCTTACACCATTTTAGAGGGATCCACTTTCAAGGCCATTACTTCATTTTTTGCTAAACAGCTCTCTAAGGTGCCACAGGTGAAGCCAATAGCACCATTCGGGCTGTGCTACGAGTCGAAACATTTCTCTTCAACTCTGTTGGGCCCTGGAGTTCCCAGCATCGACCTCGAGCTAGAGGGTCAGAATGCAGTTTGGTCCATTTTTGGCCTGAACTCAATGGTGGAGGCCAAACCTGGAGTGCTATGCCTAGCATTTGTGAATGGTGGGATTGAGTACAGAGCTAATATCAACATTGGGCTATACCAAATGAAGGATATACCAATGAAATTTGACCTAGGCAAGTCAGTGTTAGGCTTCGGTGGGCCACTCAGTGGAATTCGGACTCATTGCTCAAACTTCAACTTCACTGCTGTTGCTTAATACCTCCAAAACAACCATGGTCGATCTCCCCTTTGGTGAATTGAACTAATAGGTATTCAGGGTCATAGGTAATACTCATTGTGAGTAACTTGATTCTGAAATACATGGCAAAGCAGCGTATTTGGATGTAGTTTTTTTTTTTTTTTTTTTTTTTTTTTTTTTTTTTTTTTTTGGCCTGAATCAAGTGTAATGTAGGCATGTCATAAAAGCTTTATACGGAAATAATAATCATGTGTACTATTTCCAATTTTCTATAACATTGTAACACTTCCTAACATAGAATTGGATTGAGGATTTGGGATAGTCTCCTAACCATAACACTCCCACCCCCACAACACACACACACACACACCCCTGAAGAATGAAGACTATTTACGGAGTATTATTAAAGAGAAAAGAGATCTTACCACTATATCATATCCCCTGAAGCTGAGTCTTGTATTTTTGCCCACAAGTATTGCTATCCATACCATACATCAACGGTAAGATATCACTGTTTAGTTTCTTTTTCATTGTGATGGTCACTATATCAGATAATTATCAAATGCAATCTGCTCGTTTCTCAGCATAGACCAACTCAGTTATAATCTTTGCTATAGCCTGGCAAATTGGACTTCAGACCTGCATCATAACAGTTATCACCATGATCACATTTAGCTCCACATAGACTACTTGGTAAGTAAGTATAAACAAAAGGAATATGCAATGATTCTTTATTCAGAGCATCATTTATCTAATTTCTCGATACCATGGTTCAAGTTTGACCCATTATTTAGCACTTAGCAGGTTGTTGACATCCAGTAAGTATCACTTTTGGATTTGTAATTTTATGTATAAAACCTTAAATTGTCGGGAGAATATAATCAATAAAAGCTTCTATTATGAGACAATTTTTCAAAGTTACAAAATATTGAGTATAAGCGTAAGGGTTCATATGTTCAAGTGCATAAGAAGCTAGAACTGGAATAATCACGATTATCGAGAATATTTGACAGCAAACGTTTATCAATGCATAATGCAATCTTACATACATTTGTTAGTTTGTGTAACCTAAGAAAAAACATTTTCTAAACAAGAAATGAGCTATCTATAAAGTATAATATGACTCGTAATCTTGCTCTTGCAAAGCAAAATGCATTCTAAACAAGATAATGTACAGGTTAATGACTACAATGCAGGTTCATAGTTGAAAGTTTGAAACCACATTTTCTGTTTAGTTCAATGGAGTGATAGTAGCATACACAAATCCAGTACAAATTATTGAATAAGCATCCATATATTGGAATTTCAAAGGGTATGTAAATTTTCTGTTTCACAGGTTTGTGTAAAAGTTTTAATTTTGTTTTTGTCGTGTTTAATAGGTAAACCAGCCTTGCCCGCCTATCTTTGGCAGAGAAGGAGGAGGATCACATAATTCGAATTCACAGTTGACTCTGTGGGAAGCAGTGCTACTAGCCTACTGCCACTGCTTCACCACAAGCTTATTACAGTCAAAAGTTAATTCCATTGTACCTTTAGGCAAAAAAAAAAATTAATAATAATAATAATAATAATAATAATTTTGACACCGGAAATAGGGAAGGGTTAGGTATTACATGTATAGAGTATATTGATTAATTTGTCTGTTTACCATATTTAATATCTATCTCAAAGAGCATGCCATGAGGGTGTGTTGCAAATAAAAGAAAACGGAAAAAGTATAAAAAGTGGCCCAATATTCGGCTCAAAATATAAACGTGGCCTGCTGTATAGGAATAGAATGGGTATTAGTTATGTTACTTGCACTTAGGTACCCATGTCCGACACGGATACGTGTCCAAGTGTCCGACCTTGCTATTTTTTGAAAATTTATAATGATTTTGAACTAAAATGAAGTGTCCAAGTATCCCAACCATGTCCGAGTGTCGAGGGTCTGACACAGGTACGTGAGGTGAAATGAAGAGTCCGAGTAAAATAAGGTATTAATGTAATACAAAAGCCATAAGCCACTAATCAAGACTATAATAGCATAACTGCATAAGACCTCCACATTTGTCTGAACCAGTGAACCACATACAATGTTTGGACCGGTGAATTTATAAAAGTTAGAATTCAATCAGACATATTCATTATAACACATACACAATATGGACTACCTTAGACGATATATTCCATCACATTGAAACATAATGTATAAATATACTGTATTAGTGTTAATTAATTATATATTATGTCGGATTGTCAGATTAAAACATAATAAGCAATTTTACTGATTTGTCTTCATGCGTGGACAGATTGAAATTAGTCAACACACTGTCTGTTGAGTATCAACCCTTCCCACATGTTCCCAGCTAATAAATTCCTAGAAGTAGCATCCTACTGAGATGCTTAGTAGACTTTTAATACTAAGCAGCATTACTTTGATGGGAGCCTAAGATGAAATATTAACATTAATTAATAACGGTCAAGAAAAACAAAGATCTAACCTTTGACATGTGGTGCTTCCATGAACCAAGAAGGGATACTAAAAACAAAAGGCATCATCCATAAGAAGTTTCTTTGACACATCTCAAAAAATTAGGTAGATGACTGTGCATATACGTCCAAAATATCCAAAAAAAAGTTGGCATACATTCACTCTGTCAATAATCATGCACAAGATTCAGATGTCTTATAATTCAACATAAATTTTGTTGCAGACAGAATACTATAGCTGGCATGCTCCCTAACCAACAGATTTTTGAAACTTCTATGCTTGCATCTTAACAAGCGGAATTCCAAACTTACAATCCACTACGAGTTCTATAAATGCTATATATAAGCTCATGAAGCCAATACTAAGGCAGTAACATCTTCTCATATAAAAGTCAATAAGTCAAAAAGATAGAACACAGAAAGTTAAATTACCTGATAATTTCAATCATGAGCATTACTGATACATCATCTGTCTCTGCTGTTGCTGAAAGTTTCGATGGAAGACGGCCTTTACCGAGGAGAGGGCAAATCAAGGCAGTCATAGCAGCTAAAGCTTTCCAATCCATTCTGCATGTGTTGTCCAAAGCCTCTTGAACTGAAGCCAATCAGCAAACATGAGCAAGAGTATAGGAAAGAGTGAAATAGTAGCACTTATTAATTATTCATGTTCGTATTAAAAACCATGTAAGTATGTATCTGCAATTAACTTAAGAAATATGACACTCATGAATTTGTTAATATTTGTTGTGGTACAGATAAATTTTCTATTTTATAGCATGAAACCCTCTTTTGACAATTAAATTTAGCTAAAAAATATGAGCAAAAAAAAAAAAAGTCAAACAGGCCCATCTCAAGGGAACGTCTGCAATCTGCCTAAGGCAACTTCATATGAGACCTTGTGGAATTATATGTCATATGTGCTAATTACATGCAACCAGGTACCACACCCAACTTAGGGAGTGGAGTTGTGTGAGGAGCCACAAAAAGATCAGACTACTTGTTTGTTATTAAAATAATTAACAGATTATCATCGGTTATCATGACATAATAAAAGAGGTCTAAACTATATCACTGTTCAATCCACTATCAGCCTTTTCAAGTGACAGTTAAAATTTACTTTGTGAACTTGGAAGTACAATGAGACAGTAACATTACTATATTAGCACACTCAAGACTGCGTATATAACATTCAAATGATTAATTAGCTGGATTATTGGACTAATGCAATCCCTTTGAAAAAATGAAGCCTAGCTGATATCAAATGCAATAAAATTTTATTTATTTTCATTGGCTCCAAATGAAAAGTTGGAAACAATTTTAACTTATCAGCGACAGTGTGATAATACTCTAAAACCATTTTCTCTGTTTTCTCGTGATTTTGTGTATGATTATGCAATGAAATCCCAAGTGACATGATCAGAAAAACAGCACATTCTATACCTGCAAAGGTTTCTAGCTCACTTCAGATCTCCACGTCTCCAAAAAATTCTAATAAGTAAATAAAGTCACATCACCCATTTATTTAGAGAGGATGTTTGTTACAGATACAAATATAGTAGAATAAGGAACTTATGTAAATCATATACAGGAAAGTTTCTCATGAAAGTAATGCATGGTTAAGGGCTTAAGCTCAACAGTTCATTTGTGCAAATCTCACATTACAGATTCGCCTATAGAGTTAAACATGTGATCTGAATATAAGCAATTTATCACAGAACAAACAAACATCATTCCCCAAGATTACTAACAGAAGTAAATCCAGTATAACACGCTTCCATTAGTTGAAAAAACAGTGTGTGTACAAATACAGCAAACATTATATCTGTAGTGCTTGCAAAGGTAGACACAGACAAATATTAAGCAAAGTTACAATGGCTTATAATACCTAAATACCAATGGTCTCCTTTGCAAAAAGTCCCATAGCACTTTATTAGACATACAGAAGTTTATTTAATATAAAGAAGCATAACTATGAAAGTGAAATAGTATTAATATAATGTAATAAGACAGATCTTGCCTGTGAAATATATGAAACCAAAAAAAAAATAATAGTGGACTCACAAGAAGCTTCCATAATCATTGTACATGAATGTACCTCAATTACAAATTTCTAAGAAAATCATGTCAGCAATATTCATTAGTCAGGTGGCAAAAATATTTGTTGCAAATCCAGTTATCTTAGCTGACATGCTCCCTAACCAACACCAACATGAAATTTCAGTGTTTTTACATTGCTTCTGCTCCCATACTTAATCAGCAAAATCTACAACTTATCCAGCCATTAAGATTTATATATATATAAGCCCCCAAGGACCAAGGCTAAAGCAGCACCATCTTCACATCAGAGGGATAAAACACAAAAAGGTTTAAGAGTAAAGATCAATCACCTCAAACTTTCTATAATGAGCAACAAGATCAATGGCACTTCAACATTAGCAGTCATTGCTGAAAGATTCCGTGAAAGAAAGCCCCTGCAAAGGAGAGGCCATATAAAGGCAATCATAGCAGCAAAAGCTTTCCACTCCATTCTACAAGTTCTTTCCAAAGCATCCTCACACTCCTATAAAAACCATCATCACAATTTAGAAGAGTGAGAGAAAAAGGAAATTAAATGGTATCATACTATCACTAGTTATACATATATGTCATCCTTGACCATGTAACAGAAATTATTTCTTCAAATAGGAGATTCATTACTTAATCTATCAATTAGTCAATTTATTTTCCTGTGCTGCTTTGTTTTTTTTCTTTGTGCACCACTTTAGTTTTTGAACCATGCCAACCATCTAATATACATATCAGTAGACCAAACCAAAGTTTACAACAAAATTAATGACACAGTTGTACTGAGCTCAGTGCAAATTGGATTTGTTTAGAGTTTGATGCAAATTGCATTTTTCTTTTCTTTCTTTTTTAGAGCTGGGCAAATGCACATCAGAACATCCACCATGATGATCATTTGCTTGCACTTGAGATAATGAGCAATGTTTGAGCAAAAGAATATAAATATGACTAATATGATGGCTGATGAATTTTCATGTGCTTGAGAGGCATAGTGAATTAAGTAATCAAAGTATTTCTATAGCAATGGTAACTTTCAATTGCCACAATGCCTTCAATTTATTTATCTTTTCGATTGGCTTATGAACAACATCCCTTCTTGGAAATTGGAAAATCATAACACAGAATATATTCAAGAAGCTGATATTTACTCTAAGCCAATACATTTCACTACATTTGCCTATTTGGTGCCATATCGAAAACCATGGGTTGATTACACTAGAACTCAATTTGGTTAAAGGACTGACAAGAATACTTTCAAAGGCCATGTATTTTTAGATGAAAGTCCTAATCATGTATTATGTATCAACATTAAGCATTTCATCCAATCAACATCAGTATTTGATCAAAACCTAGTAGCTTCTAGTACATAAAAATCAACTGAGAATATAAAGTATCAAAAGTAAATTGTCCCAGCCAAAAAATAACTCCGCCATTTCTAGTGTCCCTGTTACTAGTATTTACATGGAAAATGGAATGCAGCATAGTAATTATGGCCAGAAATGAGATAGAAAGTAGAGACATATCTTTGATAGGGCAAGATGACAATCTTATCCTTTCGAGAGATCTTCATATCTGAATGACAGCTAAGATGTAGAAAAAATTTATTTTACCATCAAAGTAAGGTTATCTCGTCCATGTCTGAAACTTACAAAAAAAATATTAATATTAATAAAACAAAAGTAAAAAATTCTAAAATGTGGTCCTCAAAGCTGCTTGAGCTTCCCATTGACAGCATTATAAGTCCTGTAGAATGTAGAACTAATTAGGTATAGCTAGTAATTTATGTACGTAGGCCATGTACTAACTACTCCGTACTTTCTAATATTAAATCTTGATGCATGCAGCCCAGAACATTCATTGATTGTTACTCTGTATTTATGTACTGCACTAAGAAATTCTCCTGTCCTCTTCCCCCGACGTACCTTTTTAATCTGTTCCATAAATTGAAAGTGGTTTACAGGCTAACTGAGCAACCAAATCAAGCAACCTTAATGCATTGAGAAAAGAAAGGACAGATTAGCATTAAATAAGAATGAACCTTGTTGGAGGCACTGGATTAACAGAATGGCGTAGTATTGACAAGTGATAGAACCCCAGTGGCCCAATCACCACTACACTTCGCTAAAAGAGAGTAAAAGAAGTATGTATTACACTAGTACAATAGTTGTTGTTTCAATCAATTGGTAATTTGGTTTATCCTCACTGGATTAGCAAATAACAAAACCCAAACTATCAATACAAAATACTATGGCTGAATGGCTGCCCAAGAGTAAGCCTTACTTGTGTGAGCAGAGTATATACATAGACCAAATATTAACAAACGATAAACAATACTTATACTTCTGGCAGAGTTTAAAGAGCTTCACTGGTAAGCATCACTTCTCTAACTAGTCCAGACTGCCAGAATGGTTGTTTCCAAAACCCCATATGAAAACCAAAGAATTATCGAAGTAGAAGACATATCAATGATATATTATAGAGTCAAGCAAATATCCCTGTTTCATTGACTTTCAAGCAGCAATAAATACTTTCATGTGATATCCGTGACTAGCTCAGGAATTCAATAATCATTGAAACAAAGAAGAGAAACGGAGGAAAGGGGGAGGGGATGGGAGAGCCTTGAGTGGGAGCAGTCAAGCACCAAATAATGCAGGAATGGTTCATGCCATACTAGCCTGATTCAGAGTATACTATTCTTTTTTCCCATTAGCATAATCAAGATCCATGTTTCAAAACAATGAATGTAATCGGCTACTCTGCACCTTAAGGGCATTTCATATATCACACGAGAATAAATTATATACAGAACAATAGTATACCCTCAAATACTTGACAAGTCACCAACCATCCTCACAGACAGGGAAATCTTCGGTCACTTCTGATAGAGGAAGCATTTGCTGGGCAATACTTTGTAAATAAAAGTAGATGTTTTCATTCTCCGGATGAGAAGTATCCTCAGCCAGAAAGTGGTACACAGATCCTCCAGCTTCGACCCAACTATAACCAGGTTCCTTGTATATGAACTTATCTTTCATTTCCCTTCTGAGTCTTCTCACAGCATCCCAATCATGTGCTCTGGCATAAAGATTTGACAGGAGAATGTATGCAGAATCATTTTCAGGCTGCAACTTAAGAAGTTCCGTCGCTGCAACTTTTCCAACATCCAGATTACCAGAATTATGACATGCTGACAGCAGACTCTGCCACACTTGAGCATCGGGGCTTATGGGCATTTCGTCAATGACTAGCTTTGCTTCTTTTACAAGGCCAACACGGCCTAGTAAGTCAATCATAGTAGCATAGTGTTCTAGACACGGGACCAATCCATGAAGCTCAAACATGGAATCTAGATGAATGTTAGCTTCGTTCACAAGCCCGGCATGACAGCATGATTGAAGAATGCCAAGATATGTTATCTCATCGGGCATGATACCTAATTCAGTCATTCTTTCAAACAGGGAAAGGACTTCATCGTAACAACCATGCTGAGCAAATCCCGTAATCATAGCATTCCATGCAGCCAGGTTATGACTAGATATATCCATAAATATGTTTTGTGCATCAGCAATGCTGCCACACTTGCAGTAAAAATCAATAACAGCAGTCTCAACAAACCTATCACTTCCAAGCCCAGCTTTCAAAGCCAGGCAATGAATAGCCTTTCCTTGTCCAAGATTTGTCAAAGAACTACAAGCTTTAAATACTATACTTATAGTAGTACCATCAATATCAGACCACAAGCTCATTGCAGTTTTGAAGCATTCCATGGCATCAGCAGGGCAACCTGCAGTGACTGCAGCAGCAGTCAATACTTGGAGATGCCCAACATTAACTTCTTGTGTTGCAGATAATACCCTCTTTGCATGGTCCAGGCAAGAGCATTTGCCATATGAAGATATCAAGCAAGAAACCATTGACTCATCAGACAAAAATCCAGATTTTATGATGTGGGAATGGATTTGCAACACAAGATCAGCAAAATGAGGGCTTGTCACCGCTCCAAGAATACTAGCAAGAGTGTACTGATCAGGTAGAAAACCAAGATCACGCATTTGATGGAATACGCGTAGCACTAGACTGAGTGATCCATTCTCAGAATACCCCCCAATCAAAGAATTCCAAGATATTGAATCACGGAAAGCCAATTCATCAAAAATAAGCCTAGCATCATCCATCACTCTACACTTCCCGTACATAGAAATAAGAGCATTACCAACAGATAAAATTGTCAAATACCCAGCCTTGTGGCAAAGTGAGTGAACTTGCCTCCCAGCAATCAACAGCCTAGGGTCCTCAATTGCTGATAATACATTAACAACAGTAAGCTCATTCACATCCACATTATTCAACCTCATAAATTTAAAAGCCTTCAGAGCTTCAGCCCCATCAAACGAAGCCCCAATCCTTGCAGTCCATGACACAACATCCGGATTAGGAATTTCGTCGAACACCTTAAGTGCATCAAGTCTCCGCCCACACCTCGAATACATATTCATCACCACATTACTCAAATGAAGCGAACCACCAAAAACTAACCCAGTTTTAAGAGCAAACCCATGAATCTGCTCACCATCCCTAACCTCCCTCAATGCCCCGACTACAGCAGTCAAATTAAACTCATTCAATTCCAACCCTAACCCTCGCATCGCCTTAAAAATCTCCCTACCATTCTCAAATTCACCATTCCAAACATACCCATTAATCATGGCAGACCAAACAACAGAATCCAAATCCAAACACTCCTCAAAACACTTCTCAGCTGATTCAACAAACCCACATTTCCCATACTTATGAATTAGTCCACTAACCACAAACCCACTTAAATTAAACCCAAATTTAATACAAATTACATGGGAAACCCTAATTTTCTCTAAATTATCACATGATTTAATCAATGAACTCAAAGTATACTTATCTGGGCTAAGTCCATAACATGTCAATTTATTGTATAAAGCAAAAGAGGACAAAGATTGATGAAATTGCGCATACCCCGAAAGCAGAGCGTTGAAAGCGACGGTGTCGACGCCATGTGCGTCGAGAAGGAAGCCATTGGAGCGAGAAAAGTCGCCGGATTTTGAGAAATGGGTGATAAGAGAGGTGGCAAGGAAGGTGTCGAGGACATGGCCGGATTTGAGGAAAAGGGCATAAATTTGGTCAGTGAATAAAGGAGAAGAGAGAGAAAGAGAGTTTTTGAGAGCTTGAGGATGAAGGTTTTGAGCTATGAGGTGCTTAATGGAGGTGAGAGAGTGAATGTTGGGAGTGTTGAAGAAGAACTTCTTCATGCATTTCTTATGTTGAGGTTTAGAGAGGGTTTAAGACTTTAAAGGAGGAAGAAGGAATTGGAGCATTTCTTAAACAAATTGACCAAAATAGGTTTAAGTTTTAATAGTGTGGGTTGGTCATGAGTTGACTCACTTTCACGAGTGTGGAATAATGTAATCTCGTCTTATTTAATTTATCAGATTTGATATTTGAAACCCTAAAGATGTGTTTAATAAGTTTGAATATGAATCTTGACTCATGATAATAATTAAATTAAAATTAAGGTTCAAAGTTATATTAATCTGCTTGTAAAAAAAAAAAAGTTATGTTAATCTGGTTGGAATTTAAATTCTAAGCTCACTCCCCAAGCCCTTGCAAAGTAGCAAATCTTTATTAGCCAATTTTCTCATAAGATTCAAACTAATACTTTGTCCATTAATTGACATTATCTCTACTTCTTATTTTAGACAGTTTCATCAATTTCTTTCTATTTTATTGCTCTTTGCTAACGTTACACTATCATTTTACTTAAATTTGACTCACTAAGTCACTACATATGACTAGTTTTCTAATATCATACTCACTTTTCACAAAAAAAAATTATCACAACATTCACAAGTACCAAGTCTTCAACTTTATTATTGATTCTATTTCCCTTTTTTATACTTTGTACGTGAATATACTATAAATGTGAAAATATAGTGTAATAAAGGAAATACTTTAATTTATAATTAAATTCACAAATACTCCATTCTTAATTGTTTGCTTCATTAGTTTACATCTAGGGGACTAAGACATGTGTCCAATCATAAATTATTTTTTTGATATGTATTGGTAAAAAGAATTAGTTGATATTTTAAGAATATAATAAGACAGGAACCTCTATGAATATATGAGAAGGGGGGTTCTTATAGGTTAGAAGTGATCAAAAAGTTGGTGCATTCGGGCGAAGCATATGGATCCACGTTTAGGATGGAAAAAATCATGTATAACTTATTAGTTTGAGCTAAAAATTGCAGGTTTTTCAAGTCTTTGGGACCCGACTACAATTAAAATTAAAATTAAAATTAAAATATTAATTTTAGACGATTCAAAATCCATCAAATTCAAAAACTCAGGTCGGGCTAGTTCAAAGCCCAAAAGGTCGGCTTCATCACCTTACTTATCATACACAATACTACCTACCTTATTATTAGTTTTGCATGATTCTAATTTATATTCGCTTGGACAAGCTAGTTACGTATATATAACATGGTATACACGTAGTGAGTACTCCATGTAAGTGGATATCAATATGAGCATCAACATTCACCTCACTCACTTGTCATTCTCGTAAAGAGCAACAATATAACATCAACAAACCTTTCACCTGATCACAATCCATAATATTAATCTTCATGTTAAAATTGGTCGAGAATATAATCATGTTAGTAATTAATCCTGATTGATTCAACTCCCTTCCCAAAGCACATGAACTATGACCAAATTTGATTATGTAGAATAAGGTGATTAATTAGTAACTTCCCTCTTCTTAAAAACATGTAAAACCCCAAGAAAAGCAATAACGTTACAACTACGATGTCTTATTACATAAGCTAGAAATGCACCAAATATAAAAGGCCCAATCCTTAAAAACAAGGGCACATGCACATTGATCTTGGTTTTCTTATCGGGCCCCGCCATTTTTGCCCATGGACCTATTTTTTTAACCCTATTTTCTAGGTTGATACAACTATAACATACCCCACAAATTTAAAGCCTCTATTCCCAATTGTTAATCGAACAAAACATTATTGTTGATAAAATATTTTTGTATTGCTTCTCATTTTTTTTATGAATGGAAAAATGTAGATGGTATACAGTACTAGATTTAATGGTTGAAATCAAGGGACAAGAGGTAAGGCCAGCCGACAGTTTTTTTTTATGGGGTAAGTGAATATATGAAATATTGCTTTCCATTTTCGTATGATTTTCAACTCGTGCTGTTTTCTGTGAACGGGTACAAATTCTTGGGTCACACAACACAAAGAATGATTTAGTTGAAGACAACGCAGAATAAAATTAACCCTTTATTTTACACCCGTGAAAGATAGATGTTGTAAGGGCTAGTAATATTCAGCGTATTTTCATTTAAGTTCTGTTTCTAATTTTCTTCTTTTATAAAATATTCAGTTCATTTCAGCTCCAATCAGTTCAGTTCAGTATATCAGAACAGGCTCTAACTCTGTTTATTTGTATTATTCGCTTCATATTGAGATAAGTAATGAGGAAAATTCATGCATGAATTTTAAGTAGTTTTCATTGGGGAAAAGATTAAGGAGGATTGCCAAAATATAAGCTTAACTATTTCACTTACTTCACTATCAATTGGTTTGAAGATAGTTTAATAGTTGATCTTGTATGTAGTCAGAGTGTCAGACTATATATACTTCGACACATGTGTTCTTTGGCCAGTTAAAGACTTGTCATGATATAAAAGTAGAAGATCATGACCTATTAACAAACTTAAAAAAGGATGAACCATTATTTTGATAATTACAAGTTGTTATCTCTCGTTGGAAGTACAAAGAGGGTCTAATGACATGAGGAATTGAAGTTGTAACTTGTGTTAATTGCAAGCATATATATGAATTTACAGATAACGATGGGTGTTAGAAAAACTTTTAAAATTTAATTTTAAGGTATACGCACATTGTGTTAATTATGTATTTCTATTGACCACACAACATCAGCTAGGAGTATATTACAAATTATGTAACATAATTTAATAGTATAATAATCAACTAACTTTAATCAAACAATCATTAAATTGAATAACTAGTATAATAATCAACTAACTTTAATTAAGTTTCTTACAATAAACAAATTGTATACTTAAGCATTTTGTTTAATCAAGTTATAATGCTATGCATAGGCAATTAGGCACATAGTAGACATATTATTTTAGAAGGAAAAGTACAAAAGAAATTTGGACATATTTTTATATATTAGCATGTTTATACTTAACATACTTCCAATAACTCAAAATGAGGCTAAGAAGTACCAAATTCTCAATGCTTAAAAATAAGTTCAAAGATGAAATACCATAATTAACTAGGGGTGAGCATGGGACATTGGGACGGGTATCCGTACCGTTAGTACTTATGGTTCAAAATTCCTGAAAGTGATATCCATAACCCGAACCGATAAGTTCGGGTACCCGGATTTTCGGATTGGTTATCGGGTACCCAATATGATATCCAATAATGATAATTAAACTTAATTATGTACTCCGTAGTTATTATGATATAATTAACCACTAATTAACAACAATATCATATGATTTTGACCAAATTATTAATAATATTTCTAATCATTGTTATTATAAAGTTTTAGAACGGATCGGGTAAACGTTAATTTTAAAATGATACCCAATAACCATACCTGATAACAAATTATCGGAACGGGTACCCAAACCGTTATGGTTATCGGATCGGGTACCCTAATTTTCGGAACGCGTACGGATCAATTTTTCGGGTAGTTTTGCTCTGCCCTATAATCAACAACATACATAGAGAACGAAATAATTGATAATTTCATCATTTATTCGAATATGCATTACAAGTATTTAAACACGTACTTGGTTCTAACTTTAAAATACGAGTATTACTTTAATTAAGTACTTTTGTTTTTTTGGAGGAGTTTTAATTAAGTACTTAAGATCTAGCTCAAAGGATGGGTTATTATAATGGACAAAACAATTGCATATGATGTATGACTCACTTAAATGCCACCTACAAAATTAAAACAACCCTAGCTATGGACTATGGAGAGTAATTTGAAACAATTATTAGATGCATTTAACAAATCACTCTCAATCTACAAAATGTTGGTATCCTTCATTTAATACAGTGCGTATACATCAACAAGATAATTGGTCTTATTTAATTCGGTTGGAGCAATTACTAGTATAAAATTTTACCTTTTTTTCTTTCCCATCAGGCCATCATACACCCTATCACGATAAACCATATTTATAAATTACATAAGATTTTCAATATTATTAACTACACATTTTTAACTAGTCGATTACAAATGGGTCTTATATATACAAAGTATATTCTTATTGAGTTAAATTCATAAATTATACGGATTACGGAGTGATTGTGTACAAACAAGTATATTGTAATTATTAACTCGTACTAAACATACCCATATACTCTGTATATGCTTGATACTCAAATTCTACTTAAAAAAAAAAAAAAAAAAAAAAAAAAAAAAAAAAAAAACTAACCTAACCACATTGTTCAAGTAGGTAACCATAAGCGTGTAAGTATAGAGATAATTTTTTTCCCCCCTTGCAAATGAGTCCTAAGAACCATACAAGTTCCAAATGAGGGTAGGAAATTTGAACCTGTGACCTATTATACACATGCTCTCGGTCTTAACTATTAGACCAAAAGTCCAAAACTTCACTGAATTGGATGTATCATGACAATAAACATTGGACAACTTCCATATTTAATTTATAAATTTGTTTAATTATGAATATAGAAATATATAGACAAAAAATTATATATTTTCCCTGGTTTCAAATTTATTAGCTATGAATATAGAGATTTTTTTTTAAGGGATCTATGAATATAGAGATAAATCTGTACAATAAACAACTTACCCGTTTCCAACTTTTAGCATCTACATATATAGGTACAAATCAAATATTGAATTGATGATAACCAACTTTGTTATTTTTCACCTTTTATTTCTTTGTTAGAACGGTCCTTAATTGTTCAAATTATATATTGATTTTCTTTATAAAGTTAGTAATAATTGTTTGGTATAATTTGTATTCAATTTTATATGTTAACTAGCATAGTGCCCGTGCAATGCGCAGTTTATAAATCAAATTATTAAATTCGTAGGAAAAATAAAAATAAAAACAAAGGTAATTCATTTACTATTACAGGACTTGGTTACTAATGGTCAATAAAAAAAATTTAAAGGAACATTATTTAAATAGTATTTTATGTTATTTGAATTTCTTTTAATTTTTTATAATGTTATTTTATTAATTGAAAAATAATTGAATAATACTCCACATAGTTATATAAGAAGTGGACTAATTTATTTATATCTCCCGTTGAGAAAAAACTAAAATTTTATTATCATACCATCCGTACCAGTAGCTACAATTAATCTAATATACATGTTTTATTTACCTATCGCACTCATTAAATCTATAGACACAATAATAACCTTATATTTGACCTACCAGAACATATATTTTCCTAAGTTAACCATTGTGCCAAAAACTATATATTATATAATAGTCACATATATAACCAACAGCTGATTAAATATTGTATACAACACAAATACTTCGTATATAGGTATGGATATTGATAATTTTATATAAATAAAATATACGGAGTATATATTATTAAGATTTATCCCTACCTTAATTATAAAAAGGTTAACAAAACTCTTATAATAGTGCATGGACATTTATATATCTAAAAATGTTCTTTTTACATATATTTTCCCCCATTTAATTTTAAAAGCCTTAAAATTGTCTCTTGAATTCGCTAAATTGATTTAAAAGGTTATGTTTATTTCAATATTTAAAGCCATTTACTATTTTC